TGTGTTTGATTTGTTTCAAATTTTTAGGGTAGATGCATAAACATAAACAATAAATAAATATGAAACTTTAGCTTGATTAATAAATTTTTTAAAATTCTACAGCACAAAAACAAAAAAAAATCGATTTAACAGTTTTCCAAATATCTCGAGAACGGAGCAAGGAAAAATTTTAAAAAAAGCACACGTACACACATCGAAATTCTCTATGAAAAGAAATATTTTTTTAATTTTTTGTTTTGAAAAAATTTTCAGACCAAATTTTTTGATAAAAAAATTAGTTTTTGAAACTCAAAAAAAAAATTTAAAAAAACCACAATGGTAGCTCTGAGTATTGCGCAATATTTAGGTATAGTATTATGAGGTGCACTCTACAATAATTTGAGTTATGAATTTTTCTTTACACCAAAGTTGAGTAAAATGAGCACTTACAAATTAAAAATTTTTTTAAATTTTTATAACAATTTTTTGAGTATGCAGTTTTGTAGCCCATTAAAAGTTCAGAGCTACCATTGCGATTTTTTTTATTTTTTTTTTTTAAGATGACATATTTTCAAAAACGAATTTTTTTATCGTTTTTATCGTTACGAAAAGTTTAAAATAAATAATGCTTGTACTTTTTAAAAAAAGTACACGTTTCAGAATAACAAATAAATAAATGTTGGTAAACCATCGACTTTAATTATCTTAATTAACTGTTATTTTTTTTATTTTTTAAGGTCAAAAATAAGACGCATATTGCTCAATATTTTGATTAAATAATAACTGATATTTGAAAGTTCTCAAAAAATACCGAAAATTCGAGAGAACTGTCCGCTTAAAACCCAAAAAAATCCGAAAATTATCGAAAAACCTCGAAAAAACGCCCAAGAAATATGGAAAAATCCCGATCAAAATTCTCAAAGCGCGAATAGTTTTCAAAAAAATTCAGAAAAAAATTATTTCGAAAACTTCCGAAATTGTCTCGTTAGCTGCAAAAATATTTCATAAAGTCCGATAAGCTCGAAAAGCCCTAAAAAATACAACAACTTAACCTTAAAAAAAAATATGAAAAAGTGCGAAAAGTTTTCGAAAAATGTCTCAA